CACTTGCAGAATCTGCACTAGTCACTTATCACTTTTATAAAGCTTTTAAACATTGGCTGCATTAACTAATTAACTTGGCAATAACTAATTAACTTGACATTAACTAATTAATCTACTGACCAAAGAGAGAAACTGGCACTGGCAAATTACTAGTTTGGAGGTTAAATTAATTAAAAATAGTATAGTAGTGACAGAATTTAATCTCATACTTCTCGTGAGAGCATGGAATCACTCTCAGCTGCAGCAATTTGTGATAAATCCATGGACAGATTTTATGATGATAGTGGAATTAGTTTGTGTCACACCTAAGAGTATATGTGCTCACACAACAGTACATATATTAAACAATATTAAAAATACACAAATTGAGCAAGCCAAAAGAATCTATCATTTGAACTAGCATGTGATACATACCCTTCAATATCAAGATATAGTTATTTGCATCAGTAAAATTCAGGGGATTGTAACAGTGGTTGGGAGGACCAGAATATTCTTTACCATCTGTCTTTACCTGTGTGAATACAGTGTAAACTGTAAATACATTTCCTTGACTAGTTTAAGTTCATTCTTTATATTCTACCTTTAGCATGATAGCTTTTAATCCAACAACTTGAAAACTGGGGAATGACTCTAAAACATGGCAAAGACAAACATCCACATGTGCTTGAAGGAGGAAGGGAGATGAAGAGAAATAGAGCAGAAGAGAAACAGAGCTGAGGACAGACAGATAGAAAGAGGTTATCACAATACTCAATCTCACAAATACAACTACTAAGCAACAGAACCGTAGATAGTTATCCAACTACAAAAGTAAGATGGACACTGAAAGTCATCCTTAGTACATAAGCACACTGAACAACATACAAACTGTACACATATTGTACTCACTCATAACTATTTTTGACATTTTTGATGCTGATCAGTAAAAACCCAGTCATGAATTTCTTTCTGATTAATACAGGAGCTCTTAAATTAACAAAGAAATTGTCCTTTGATAGGAGCTCAGTTACATTAACAAACTCTTATCTATGACCTAAATGAGGGTCACAGCTCAAGCTATACCCTTCCACTGAATGGGTATAAGAAAGGCTAATATTTCATATCCAGTCTTCAAAAACCAGACTATTATGCCACTCGGCATCAACCACCACTCAGACAAGAGCAGAAGCAGAACAGACTGAGCTGCAATGAAGCTGTCAAGCACTACGCTACTCACGGCCTGGCTCAATGAAGAAAAGATGCCTGTCTTGAGAAGGAGTTGCAGGAACATGGTCAGCCCTGAGCAATGGAAGAGGCAACATCAGCGGTTCTAGTTCCTGTTGGTTAGGATCAGGAGCCGAGGAATAAAACACGTAGGATGTGGATTTACAGAAATAAAGGTGCCCATCCTCCTCCACATCTTGTTTCTTCTCAGCTCACTTACCTGTCGCTAACTATGAGTCTTCCTACAGCAGAGTATACAAAGCTAAAAGAAAGCAACTCAACAAGGAAGAGTACAAATATGCTTCAATCTGCACAATTCCTTTTCCCATCTTTAGACTTGTGTTCAAGCATGCTGGGGCATGATTCCAAAAGTAAATGAGATACTATGGCAAAAAACTAAATCTGCTGCTCATATATTGAATAAAAGAACCAAGGCTGTGTTAGCACTTGGGTAAAGAACCCAGCAGCACACAGGAGCAGTGAAGGGCCACAGACAGTATGCTGTCAAACTCAACACCCCAACCCAAAAATCAATCACTACATCACTTTTAGGAAACTACTACCAATTCACAAGTCTGAAAGAAGAGAGAATTCTGAGCCTGAATAAAGAGAGCAGCAACTAGCTTCATGAACAAATTCAGTGTCTAAGAAATATCAGAGAGAAGCATGAGAAGATGGAAGTAGGAGCTACTCCAACCACTGGGAGTTATGCTTCTGCAATAACTACTGATCTCTCCATTCAACTCTTTTCTGGAGCTTTATACAAGTCATCCTGAATACATGAGCTCTAACTATCCAGGTACCTGGGCTGTTTTAAACAGAGGATGAAAAAACACAGCTTCAAAGATTCGTTTGTCCCTACCTCTTACTGACACAAGGCTGATGACATAACCTGTTACACCTTTGAGGTGTGTTGCAACAGAGCATGCCTACAACTGAAAGCAAGGGATGGTTTTGCAGCTTACACATATATAATCCAAATGGCTTCAAATTTACTACTGCAAGTACTACTGACAGTGTAGTTGTGGCAGCATAGTTTCCAGCATGAATTGTACAATTCTGCCCAGAAACTAAGGTAAGTACTCACATTAAGCATGCCATCTGTAAGAGGGAGATAATACTTCATCCTGCTTTTGGTATTATTGGCAAGGTATCTTATATGTCAGAGTAGAAACTTACACTGCAGCTTATGACAACAGCCACATTCGCTAGGTGGTACTGTCAAACAAATTATAGTAACGCTAATAACTAGAAGGAACTATTAAGATGCATCAATATAAAAAGAAATGACAATGCTTATGTAAAACATTATTGTTTATTCATTGAAAAATTACAAACCACAGAATACAACTGATCTGGCAACACAGCTAAATTGTTATTGATTTCCATTGAGAATTTTTCCCCCCTTCTTGACATTTCTAGAATTTTTACATAACTATATATTATGGCTCATAGTGAAGATGAAATCTATTATAAATTCCACACATCTGCTGAGATATGCCATTCTGAAGTTAACTGTCTTGAAACCTGCATTTGGAGCACATGAAAGTCATTCAATTTGCCAATATTAACTCCTCTTACATCAATACCTGAATTTAAGAGAGTTTGCATTCTTGTTCACACTGTAAAACAAAAACCAGACTCTCTTTCCTGTGGGGTCAAAAGAAACAAGCAAAACTTACTTTTCTGAACAGTTGTTCAGAGGAACAGATTCATCTGAGAAGGCTAACGTTTAAGTGGCTGAATAAATCAGTGACTTAAATTCTAAATAAATGTATGATGCAATCAAAGCTATGGAAGTTCAAGTAATGAAAATCTGATGATTAAATGTAAGTTTTTATTACTGTTAACATCACTCCCATTTTTTAGATAAGCAATTTAAGTCTGTTATTACAAGGATTTTGACATACAGTTTAGATGAATTAACTTATGTATAGCTACTCAGGACCCACAAGTACAGCAATGATCAATTCAAGATGCAGGCCAGTATCTCTGAAAAGAATACCTCTTCACATGGACTGCGAGTATATAAACATATAGCAATAGAAAGTTACAGTAAAGAGGGGACTGGTGAATGTTACATCTACTGTTACAATGCACGTATCAATGACTGAGATGTTTGTTTCAAGCAAAAGCCATTGACTTAAAAACCTCTTATAATTATTTTTCTCCAATGCTGCTGTTATTTCCTGTTAAAATAAAAATTATTGTGAGAGACCAAATTATATCTGAATACTTGAGAGATATATTACATATGTTATTTGTCTCAGACACTGACTTTAGCTTTACATTATCTATCCTCAAAACTCAACAGCAATTTGGTGATACTGGATATAAACACTACAACTATTATTTTTTGTGAGGGAGGCTAACATTTAAGCTTCACAAACCAGCAAGCTACTTCCTGATTACTTTCCCTCAGTCCTTATCACTAAACTAATTTATTATGCCTTTTGTCCTCCATTGTTAATCTCATATTCCTACACAAGGAATTAATCAGAGAGCAAAAAATCAATACCTATGTTATCTGATATCATTAATGACACATTTATTTATTAACAAGAAAAATCTATTAATCAAGGTTCTAGCTTTGGGTTTTACATGCAGATGACAGGACATTTTTGGGTCCAGCTTCGAACACAGAATCACACTGAAAGGGCTCAGAAAAACACTTCCTTTGATCATTATCTGAAAACCTTCCTGCTCATCTGGACAATTTTAGACTTGGGCTACCATCTTGCCCTGCCATCTATTTGCTCTCTAAAACTCTACCTGCTGTAAAACATTCATTCAGTAGTGGAAGCTGGAGGAACCTGACTAGGAAAACAATACAATAAGAAGATGAAGTAATATGCAGTACACTAGCACAGAGGCCAAAATCTAGCACAAACAGGCCAGAACTTTGGAAGACTGAAAAATTAAATGAACATTACAGAACAGAGTACAAACTGGGTCAAAGCAAACAACAAGTCATTCAGGAGATAGTAAAGCACAGATTTTTCTATGGAAAAAATGGTAGGTGAGCGCTGCTGAGAATATTGGCTTTTTCTTGTTTTAAATAATTAGTATTTTTGGTTAAAGTTACGTAGACATTTTCTGCAAACTGTTTTTAACGTAAAAGGCAAGTCATAAAAGACTACTAAATTATTATTTCTTATATCCACCTCTGCACACTATCTAAAGTTAAAACACAGAAATAATTGAATATAATATGCTGCAAAGGTCTTATATTTTTATCTGGATACTTCACCTGATACTCAAGGAGAAAATTATGTGTTACTTTGAAGATGCTACTAAATTAAATTTCTTTGTACAAATTAGAAACTTTGACATTTAAAATGAATTTTAATAGGGTAATAAACTCAGGAAATTTCATAACTCCATCCAAGATATGAGGCATCTCTGACCTACTGACAGCTTATGCTGAATGAAAGTCATCATTAAACTCTCATGAGACAGTACACTGATAGATACTTTACAGTGACTTATTTGAGTGATAAAGACAAATATGAAGGAAAAAACCAGTTCAGCCTATTTTTAGCATTATCTTCACAAGGACTTCAAAAACACTTAACAACATTGCAGGATTTGCATTGTACTCAACTGTTCAGGAAGAATGTAATATTTGGTACTTTTCTTAAATGCTGAATAGCCAAAGTTTTTCAGATATTTCTTTTCTTTAAAATACCTCCTTTTCACCTCCTTTCTTCCAGAGTAGAACCTGAAAGTTGACACCAACCAGGCTAAATACTCAGAAACAAGTAAATAACAAGAACATCAAAAATATCCATTTTCACCTACTGGTTCCTTGGAGCTTGACTTCTTAAGAGATTCTTTTTGTATGATTAATCTGTAAAACATGAAACACCATATTCAATACAGCTTGACAAGACATACAATATAAATCTAAAGCTTTAACATTATTTTTTTAAGAACCAGCTTTTTCTTATTGAACTCTAATGCTACTATGTATTCAAAACCACGTGCTTGCACTGTATTTTTGTCTGGTCTGCTGTTAAAGAGACCATGATCCAAGAAGTTTTCAGAATCATCTTCACCTCAAAAACTGAACCATCACATGATAAAGTGCTTCTGTTCCCACAGACTTCAGTAAGACTTATTTCTCCAGCAGCTCACAGCACTGAGCTCTCTTTCTCAGAATCCTGCCTGGCTGCGAAGCTCCCCTGGATATATCTCCCACAAATATAACCTCTGAGTACAAAACAGCCCTGGGTATTTAGATCCCCTGTTACTGAGGAGAGATTGACATAAAAGGCAATATCAAATTCAGTTTATGTGATTTTATAGATTGCATGTATTTCTAGAGTCAATATTCCCCATTTTTAAAATTTAATTTACTATGATTTTACTCAGGATTAAACATGGGATTTTCTTCATTGTTATTTTTAGAGAATATTTCACAATAAAGACTGTGGAAAATAGAGAGGAACATCACAGATATGAAATAAGCCAACAAATTGCAGTAGTAACACAATTTTAATGGAAGATATTCCATAAATGATGCTCAAAAAAATATTTGAAGAAATTCCTTTTTTAGTTCATCATTTCTCAGTTACTTGACTGTCCATCTAACAAAAGCAAACATTCCACCCCTTTTATTGCAGTAACAATGTTACACCAACAGCCACAGTTTAGGTTTGTATTTTTGGAGGTGTTTTTTGGCCCTGGTCATAATCATAAATATTGGTCAATATTTGCCATTGACTTCTAGTTTTTGTTAATATACCAGCAGAAGAAAAGTCTGCCATATATATCTTTCCTACTATGAATAACTACTACCAAATGAAACAAAGAATACTTTCAAACCCTCTGATAGATAGAAAAGGAACATCTTCCCACTACTAAACTGTGATTCCTAAACTCAGTATAGTTATATATGTTAAAAATTGGCCCAAAGCAATGCATAATGCTCATTTCTGTGTACCGTCTATAAGGATAATTTACAATCTCTTCCTAGAAATCAGGCAAATGTACAACAGGTAAGTACAGAAAAAGCTAAGAGAAAATGCTAAAAATTCCCATTACAAGAAATGAAAAAGTTCCTCTTCTAAAAATTACCGAAGTGCTTTAAGTCAAGTAGGAGAGAGGTCTCCGTGCATACTATACACCACTGCAGCTTGGTTTTACTAGTATTATAATGAAAGATAGGTCTTATAATCAGTGGCTTCATGGCCAGCCCCCATCCCTATTGCCTCGCATAGGAAGGAATCTACCTACATCCCCATTCCAACACGAAGTTGCTTGAACACCACTGATCTGCTCCAGTAATGGAGGAAAATTCCTAAAACTACCAAATCTCTCAGGTGCTCACTGATAAAACGAGACAGGTTGGTAGATATTTAATTGGTTTAGGAACTGAATTAATTTTCTGCTTTACCAAGCCTGGATTTAAGTAAACAGCCACAATAACTAGTTTTAATGGAACCCTACAGCTTTATATCAAAATTGAAGATTATTGCACTGTAAGATGGAAAGCTTGAATTGCGAAACAGAATGTTGTTGTTTAAGACTATTATAACTGAAATAGCAATAGTAGCCTTGAAGGGGATAGAAAGACCACCAGCTGCACTGCTATTTATACCCTGCTGGCAGATTCATTGAAAGGTATTTGCAAACGGCTTCATAAAGGACACTTCGGCACCTTTTCAACAATAATAGCTAAAAAATATTTTTTAAAATCATTTTTAAAAAGATTAAGTGAGTGAAAACTGTTTGAAAACTGAAATGTTCTCTACATGACAAGAACAGACCTTCATTAGTACAAGTTTTCTTTGCAAAAAAGCTCAGGGCAACTATACACTAATTATATCAATCTGACTCTGTACCTCGTCCAGAATATCTATCAGTTTACCACTAGTACTGCCATCCTAGGAGTGGAGACAAGTACTCAATGCACAATACACATTGTATTTGATAAGACTTTTTTTAAAGGAGAGACTTTTATTTATGAAAATGATTGAGTGCTGGTTACTAAGTTACTGGTCAAATGTAAAACTTATGCACTCTTGTATGTCATAATCCATATTATAAAAGCAAGTATGGGAACTATTTGCACTTGACCTGTGGAAGATATATAACATACAGTGAATTTAATTATATTCAGAAAACGTCTGGGATAAGACAAGAAATAAAGAAAGTATTTTTCCAGGTATTTATATAGCAGTAATGACAATAAATTTGTAACAACATTAATTCTTAAAAACTCAGATTCAAAACATGACTTAAAGGATTACACAAATTAGTTGTCTCCAAAACGTTTCTAGATGTTGGCTTTGTAGTTGAGCATGAAAAGGAGTGAGTTCTATATATGGAGACTTCTGACTGAAATTCAAGCTTCGCACACTTTCCAACAAATCTCACCTCATAGAGATTTGAGATAAAAGTCAGACTCTTAAATAACTAAATTCCAGACTAAGAATCAAGACTATATCAAGGGAACTGAAAGCTCTTTATGAGACTTAAGAACCAGGTGTTTCCAGTGGGCCATGACACTATTTATGCTTTGACTATCTGTTATCATGAACTTTCCTCCCCTCTCCCTAAAACAGAGGATGGGATAGGCTAAAACAGATTTGAAACAGTCAAACCTACAACCAACCAGGTCATAAATAAGTTACAGAAGCATATAAAACAAGCATGACAAAATGAATGGCTGCAATGTCCTGGCCAGCTGCAGATAATCAATGACCCCGCAGACCACCAGTTCTTACCCTCACTACTCAAACAACAACGCATCCACCAGGCTTGTCTAGACAGGAAACATTTGGGCAAAAACTGTACTGGTAACATCTCCATTAGCATCAATCATGCATCAGAATGCTTCCTTCTCTCAATTAATACCCATTCCAACTCACCTAATTAAATCTACTAATTTCTCTTACAGATCAACAGATTCTGACAGAGCAGCACTAGTATGGACTCTTGAATTTATAAAAATTGTCGTCTACAATACTGATAACTGCATGTTCCTAAATTACCTTCCAAAAAGGATGTGAAAGAGTCAGAAACAGATGGAAACACTCACAAGTATAAAAATACAAACCTGTGCGTGTGTGTACGCACAATAGATAATCCATACCAGTAATGGTGAGGAATTCAGACTGTATTACACAAATAACTTAAAAGTCAATAGTGATAGGCTAATGTAAAGTATATAAACATTTTAGAATTACTAAAATAAGCATATCATGGACTATATAAGTAAAAACATCACAAAAGATTAGCTCCCAAAATCAGAATAACCTTCGCAAGTTTGAAACATATTCAATACCTGGTACTTCATTTTGCTGTTTAGGAACACAGAGGGTAGATAAGTTTGGAGGAGATAAGAGGAAAAAAAAAAAATCATTTGACATATATCAACTTTTTACCCTTATTCATTTTGGTTTCACCACCAAGACAAAACATTCACTGCCTACTCAGCGGTAGTGGAAGGGAATCCTGCCGAAAACTGCATGTAAGATTTTCAGGGAAGAAGTACTGTTACTAAATTTTATCTCAGAGAAATTCAAACAATTGTCAGACTAGTCAGTCTACTTGTGCAAGACTCTGCAAATTAGTAGCATTACTCACATGACCAGTAATATAAAGAACACTTAGAAATAGAAGAGAAATTCTGGTACTACTACCACTGCATATTAGTTACTCCATATCAACTCCTCACACACCCTTGGACACAGACTGATTTTTACCATAAAACCCTGTGAAAGATTGGTAAACCCTTCGTTTATAAAACTCTGCTGGAGAAAGGGCAACCTAAAAGCCAGCCAAGTGAGCTGCACAGAACTACCTCAAACAGAGCCTGAGAAGGCAGGGGAATGGAAAGCCCACACACATCAAGTAGTTTACATTATACATTAAAGGCCTCAATGGCAGAATTCCCACCTTCTTCCCCACTAACTACCACCTACACCATCAATTAGCACGGGGCCGAGGTGGGAGTTATTATCCCAACATGCTCCTCAAGGCTAATCGCAGCATTTTCCTGTTTGACTTCTCTCCCAACATCTTCAAAATCACTTAGAGAAGCTTAGAAGAGAAACACTATGGGTTTTTTCCTTATTTTTAAGCATATACATCATCTGACATCCATGTTTTGCAAGAGATTTATAAACAAAATCTTTCACATTTATTCTGCATAAAATGCTAGCCCTTGTCCTCCTCTTTGTTGTACATATTTAATGGAATTAAAGTGGTTTTGAAAATTATTCCACATTCTCACACTTCATTATTTGACCTCTCACCCATCCTATTAAAAAATTGCTTTATACATGTCTTATAATCACAGTTGTTTGGTGGGTTTTTTTTACATTATCAAAGGGTAAGATTTAATAAAAGAAAAATTCTACTTCATTGCATGCCTGATAGGCTTAGTTTGCAATTAAGCATATTCTGGTAAACCAGCAAATATCCAGTAGGACGCAGAGAAATATAAGGAGATATGCCACTCATTCTGAAGGCAAAATCAGAAAGAAGTTTGGAACACAGCTAACTGGGTGCATTAATATGAATACTAGTTACAGAATTAAAGCCTTTCTCAATTTTTACATTGGCTAAATGAAATACAACTTCAGTGAAAAGTTATTTCTCTATTTTGCATCTTTTAACTGAATATAAACACTCCTAAGGTATCAATAGCAAAGACACTGCGGTACAGCTGTTTTCTTACCATTTGACTAAAAAAAAAGTAGAACAATATGAAAAGAAACACATATTCAAATGAAGGATATCTAAAAATAGCATAAATAAGTTTTAGGACAGATGCCCTCATTTCTTGTGCACCGTGAAAGTTGATTTTAAGCAAATGACATGAATTTTAGGAGACAAAGA